TTTTTTTTTTTCTTTTTTCTTTTTTTGGTTATCAAGATTTTTAAATTTTTAGAAAAATGCAAGATTGGGACGAAGAACTATCCCCGATTCTTTTATTGATTCGCGACTGTAACGATGGGGTTTTTGGCTTTATTGCTAGCACTGCAATTCGTCCAAGTGACCACTATGTTGGCACTGGTGACTCCTGCTTATTGTTCAAGTTTGTGGTTGACTCAGAAACTCAAGAGAAGTGAGCAGCTTAACAGTTTTTCAGCAAAGTTCTGGCAAATATTCCAGAGTTTTAGAAAAAAACTCTACTTTGCTATAGGTATATTAAAGTGATAGCTACTGATGATGTTTATTTCTAGGGAACTTGAGAAGTATTCTTGGACGGGCGAAAATCAGTTCTTTGTGAAGGCAAGCAAAGATTCGTTATCTATGGGTGCTGGTGGTGGACATTATGGATTATGGCTTGATGCTGATTTGAATAAAGGAAGATCGTTACGGTGCGAAACATTTGACAACGAACCACTTTCTGATGGCGAAGATTTTCGTGTGCAATTTTTAGAGTGTTACGGATTTCGAATGGGTTGACCAAACAGTCGGTCTTCGGTATCACTATTAATTTGTTATTGCCAATTTACGAACCGATTGTTATTACCCTTGTTTTATTTTTTTTCAAACCTTCTTTAATGTTGTTTATTTCTTCTATTGTTTTTATGTTCGGAAAACTTACGGTACATGCCAAGTCAGTCTTTATCAGTCTCCAAATTAAACTTGCAAAGGAATTCTTTAAATGTTTATTTTTCTGGTGCCATTTTATTTATCTGTTTATTCTATAAACCTTCAGATTTGTGCTCAATTTCACTTTTCTTATCAAAAGCATGTTTTCAGATGGGGGGAAAGAGGTACAACAAAACGGAAACTTACTGTAGGAAATAGAGTTTTTTTTAGTTTTATAGGCAGTAAAATTTATCGCCATTTTTTCGACTATCATTTTGTTGCAATTAGTTTCAACTTGACTTCTTACTGTTTCGAAATTCTGTAGTCACATTCTTAATATGATCAAATACTTTGAAAAAGTTTCTTGACTTCGTTCTTTTCCCCTTCTTGTTGCTTTTTTCTTCATTACTGGTTGCTTCATGTTTTCTTCACCCTAATTTTTTTCTTCACCAATATTACTCTGTTAATTTTTTTTCACTATCTGTTTATGTACAACATCTGTATTTTTCTATTTTTTGATAACGACTGGTCTATATTCGGTGAAGAGTTAAGCTGTTGTTACCAGAACACTGCGCTTACAGGTTGAGAGTTTATGTATAAAGATGTGATTTTTAATGAAGCAAGAGATAAATAGAATTTATGTTGACCGACTGAAACTGCAGCATATTTTGCGAATGAAAAAGCGGATCAAGAACAATTATACAATGTTTTTTGTAAACAGACAGATTAAATTTTATTGATATATGCAACTACTGTATCGGCGAGTGACTGCTGTTGGTTTAAAGACATTTCTAGAACCTGGGCATATTTGTGCATAAGTGCAGCATGTTACAAAGTTTTTTCATTTTCTATTTTAAAACATGTTGTTAACTACATGCAGTTCTTTTTGCCACTGTTACCGGTTGGTTGCTGTTTTAAAGCGTATGAGATAACGAGAAGTTTCTACGAGGTCCAATTAGTTTGGATCTTTGGAAATGAGTTACCAAACACATGTGCGATTCGTGGGACAAAGAAATATGGCAGTTTTTGGAACCGTTTTACCGGTTGTTTTTCATCGCGACATTATCGTATTTTATATTATCGTCCGACATTATCCTTGGTCGTATTTTCTACATGTAGTTTCCTCAACAAAGGTTCAATGATTTAAAAGGTTTTTTGGTAGACAACTTATTTTGCAGGGGACTTTTCCTGGTAAATGAATTCGTTGTTTATATGAGAGCATGTGCACTCAGACTCAATTACCTGTATTCGCATGTGATTCTAATAAAGTTCGACAGGAACGAATGGATGTTGATTTTAAATACTCACTATTTGAATACTTGATTAGCTTATGAGCTTATAGCCTGCGGGCATAAATGCAACGAAACCTAACAACAACGGTTCCTCATTCGAATTAAATCCCTAATACTTTGTTCAATCATACCTTTGCTACTGAAAATACCTTTTCCTTATGACACGATCTCTAACAACAAATAGTTAAGTCTTTATTTTGTGTGTATCCGGAACGTTTAAGGTTATGTGTTACAACATCTTAAAAACATTTATCATTTGAAATGATGTATTGAACGGAACAGTGCGGTTATTTAGTTGCACGGAACGCTTTAAATGTAGAACTGCAAAGAA